CTGGAGCCAGGAGTTAGCTTATCTTAAAATAAAGACAGGAAACAGGTAAACAGCCAGGCTTTATCCAGGGGTAACAAATTATGCCTCACAGCATCTCTGAAGCTCAAAATTTAACACAGGGTAGTAACAAAATGTTGAACTATCCCTTTAAATTATATCTTCTTGACATTTACCCCCCTTGTTAAGATCACTGTAAATCTTCTGCTATTAGAATAACTTAACCCATAGTTCCAGTCAAGCTGTAAGCAACAGGTAAGTCGAACAGGATCATAACAATACAGATCAGATCAGTGTTACTTTAGTGAAAGCATATGAATTTAAGACCTCTGTAGCAGGTAAATGAACTTTGACATAGCAAGGCCAAACTCAATCACAAGAATTAGCCTACACTTTTTTTTTATTTTGACTTACAGTCAGCTATAGCAGAACAGATTTTGTCTAGTTTATGTTCTTCAGTTCATTGATTTCAAATATTTTCTCTCTAGGCCTGACAGAACAGCGCTGAATCTTTGGTTCCCATGTGCCTGCCTGTTTGCTCTGCCCACCTCTTCTTACTGTCATGCATGGGTTCACAACTTGCCATTGTTACTGTGTGCTCTAAGTCAAATGACAGATTCATGTAAGTACAATATTTTCTGTTTATATTCTAAAAATGCAGTGTGGCTCTTGCTTTTTCTCTGTGTTGGAGTGAGAGAGTGGTACTAGTCTATACCAGCCCCTACAGATTGCCACCTTGTGCATTGTGCCTTCAGTTTACTGCCCGTCACCGCACTAACAATGGTCAACTGTGTGACCCCTTTTGTCCCAAGGCAATAGTCTGTGCGAATGTGCGGACAGATAAAGAGATGTGACTGACGCACACAAATTAGGACCTTTCCTGAGATTTCTCTGTAAGATGAAATATTTCACATTACCTTCATTTGTTTTTCCAATAGAAAGTGAGCATCTTACATTCAGTGCTGGTAGCATACTCTGGATTCACCTAATTCAGTGAAAGATGATTAAGCATGTTGACAGTGCAGTCCAGACGTTTGCAAGTGCATTGATATTCTGTGACTCAGGACCTTTCCTAACTAATGAACTAATGGATTTATTTTCACTGATTCTTTCCCAAACGTTATTTCTACTTCTCTGCAATGTGAGGAATTAATATGATCTAAGCCAGAAATCCATCTAATAAATCAGAAGTGCTAGGAGCACAGTTGTCACCTCCAACCACAGCCCCATGCTCATTTTAAAAACATTTTTTAAAACTATGATAGAATCGGAATCGGCTTTATTGGCCAGGTGTGCTGGATACATGAGGAACCTGACTCTGGTATAGTGGCTCTCATTGTGCATGTACAATGATTTTCCCTAAGGCAACACATAAACAAGATGAGACTCGGAGAACAAAAAGAATGTACATTAGGAAAGTAAAAAATAAATTACTTATAAATATAGAAATGTATATACACACAGTTTAGGTGCAGTTTTTTGGATAGATATATACAAAAGTATATTTACAGGTATTGCACTGTCATTCTGTTATATAGTTAAGTGTGGCTCTTCCTAAAGTCCACTGTCATCTCTGCTCTTTTGAGCATGTTCAGCTCCAGGTAGTTGTGACTGTACCACAGGGCCAGCTGTGCAACCTGAGCACACATCCCTTGGGGGGGGCACCTGTGCTGACAGTCCGGGTGCTGGATGTGGTTTCCCCCAGTCTCACCTGCTGTTTCCTGTCTGTCAGAAAGTTGGTGATCCACTGACAGGTGGGGGCAGGCACAGTGAGCTGGGTCAATTGAGAGTGGAGGATGTCCAGGATGATGGTGTTGAGCCCACAAAGAGGACCTGTGCATAAGTCCTTGGGGAGTAGAGGTGTTGCAGGATATAATGTGGTGCCATGTTGACTGCATCATCCACTGACCTGCTTGCACAGTAGGCAAACTGCAGGGGGTCCAGCCTTGTGTCTAAAGTGTCCTTCAGGTGGGCCAACACCAGCCTCTCAAAGGACTTCAGAACTACAGATGTCAGAGTGACAGGTCTGTCGTCATTCAGTTTGCTGATGGAAGGGCCTGGTGCCTTCCTGATCTTTAGTTGTTTTTTTTTAAAGGCCATGCACATTAATTTCACAAACCTTCAGGGGGAAGGGAAGTGATCATGGGGGAAGTAGCTGGTGGTTCTCAGGTGAGGTGGGTGAGGGTGTGGTGTTCTGCTTTTCAAGCCTAAAGTAAAACACATTCAGGTCATCTGCCAGTTGATGGTTTTCCACAGTGGGGGGATGGTTTCCTGTAGTTAGTGATGTTTTTCAGGCTTTCCACACAGACCAGGGGTCATTGCCTGAAAACTGTTTTTTCAGCTTTTCAGAGTAGCTCCTCTTTGCTACTCTGATCTCCCTTGTCAATGTGTTTCTGGTCTGCCTGTACAGGATCCTGTCCCCACTTCTATAGACCTCTTCTTTGGCATGACGAAGCTGCTTGAGTTTTACTATGAATCAGGGCTGATTGTTGTTGTATGCGCAGAAGGTCTTGGTGGGCACACACGCCCTCACAAAGCTCCGTGAGTTCATCCAGCTTCATCCAGCCTCAAATACAATCCAGTCACTGGTGGGACAGCTGATATGCTGTCTGTATTTGGGCAGTTCATGGATGAGAGTTGCTCTGTTGAAATCCTCTAGAACAATGAGTGGGGAGTTGGGATGTTTCAGTTCCACGCTAGTTATCTGGTCGGCCAGGTGCTGTAGTCTGCTAGCGTGGGTCTGGGGTCTTATATACACTCTGACCAGAATGAATGATGAAAATTCTCTGGGAGAATAAAATGGTTTGCAGTCAGTGAAAGAGTCTTTAAGTCCATGTTGCAAGTTCTTTCTAACACTGTGACATCTTTACACCAAACTTCATTTATGTAGAAGCAGATTCCACCTCTTCTGTTTCCTAAATAACACAATCGCTCTGTATACCTGGAACCCTGGCATTTGTATTGTGCTGTCCAAGATGGAGTTGCTGAGCCAAGTCTCCATGAAACATAAAGCAGTAGCGCATGAGAAGTCGGTTAGTCTGGTTGACGAGGAGGAATTGGAGATTTGCTAGATGGACAGATGTGAGTGGCGTCCAGGTCCCTCTCTGCTGTAACTTAACCAGGGCCCCCGCTCTTTTTCATCTCTGCCATTTTCCATGAGTCCCATCGAGGGCTGCTGGTCCTCCAACAATAATGTCCACCCAGCTTTTTGCATTAGCAGAAATTGGAGAAAAGGTGTTCGGAGTGAGTTTTCTGATGTTGAGCTCTTCTCTGGTGAAAGTTATCTGGAATGGGTTGCAGAAGACGGAGGAAACGAGGAAAATCAACAAACACATGAGAGAGCGTGCTACCAAGGTAGCCATACATGGCTTAATTTAATTTAATTTAATTTAATTTAGTTTGACACATAAAAATGAAAATAATGTGCCCCTTTGTTTGATACAGAGATTTAAATACAATACTATCTAAAAACATATGGCAATGTCAAAGGCTATAATGTGCTGCGGATTCATTACATTTGAATTAAGTTAGGTCCTCATTGACTGTGTCCCAAAGCCATCTTTTAAAAGCATCTCAGTCACATTTTTCCAGGATCTGAACAAATAGCTGTCCAAATGTTGTCATGGTTACATCACAACTATACTTTGTGCTCTTGATAACATCGTCTTAAAGCTGCAGTAACCGTGTCAGTAGGGGACAGAGAAGCAAGTGCAGCTACAGTAGCACTATATCACTAGCTTACAAAGTTGTTTTGGCTCATTTGTTAGCAAACACAGCCCCTGCAGGGGCTCATGAAGTCAGTTTGATGTAATCTTTTTAAAGTCCTCCAAACCCAGAATGCACAAACAACGATCTTGGTGTCTCTAAATGATAAGAATGGTGGACAATGACATTTCCATCCACTGCCCCAGGGAGCGGACTGTGTGACATCAAACTGTCTTTATGGACCTCTGCCACTGTCTACTCATATATTCAGCAGACAAACAGCATTTATACAGCGTTAGGTTGATGAATGTTGACCCAGTAACTATTTAACCAGCTGCTGAGGAAAATATGTGGAACTACTTCATAATTACTATGTGACTTTTTTTGCATGTTTGTAGAGGTGCACAATGAGTTTTATCAGAGCTTCATGTCTCCCAGCATGGACTGAAGAGAACAATGAACTTTGACATTATAATTAAAACAATGAGCTAGGAGGCTGTAGTTGGGTCATTCTCTATGACTTCAGCACTATGAGTGGCCATTTTACATTGCACAGCCATTTGATTCAGTGTCAATATCAAAAGCATAGAAGAAAGCAAGTTTAGGGAAAACAAGGCAATTCAGTTCACAGTTAAGACAATGATGCACACATATTATCCATACATTTTAAAGTGCTGCGATTCTCTAACAATCACGTTGTCCTGTATCATATGTATAGGCAGCCAACTGTTACACTGAGGTTTTGACAATCTGTCACAAATACCACTGCCCTACTGCACAAATTACTGAGGAAAGATGCAAGATTAAAAGAAATCATTCCAATTAGCCAAAGTTTAGCTCAAGTCCGTCACACTGACCATCCTCAGTTTTATCCATAGTCAAATTTATCAGCTGAATATTTTCATAACTTCATGTGGACAAGGACAGCGTGAGGGTGGCACTTGAATCACAGACATTTTAAAAAATGATTTTTTTTCATATTTATGTTTTCCTGTTTATCAGTCATTCTGTAATTTTCATTTACATCAGCCCTTCAGTTGAAACATTTATCCTAGACAATATCATTGAGCAGGTAGTCTCTAGATGTGTGGTCCAAGAGCACTTTGACAGGATGCATGTGTATAACAAATATATGGTCTTCATTGTCTGGCCCACCAATATGTGGACGGTCCCTTTAATTACAGCCTTGGTTTCAAGATAGGTTTCAGTTTCTTCATCTGTGTACACTGCATATAACTTTTTGTATATGCAGATTTGGAAAGACGGACTTTGTTGCAATGAAAAAGCCCTTTTCAGGTCTTTGCTGGCCTGTGTCATTTCCATATAGCTGAACCTATCTGATAACATCAAGTTATCACACCTGTTTTTACTTATTCCTTTAGTTTCAGGTTTGTTTCAGCTATAATTTGTGCTTTTTATTTGAATCAGCATAAATACCAGTCAAGTGAACTTTTTTTGTTTTGCATGTTTTTTGTGCTGGTGACCTGCATACTAACATTGCCTCTGCCATGCTGTGACATTCCCCAGTATTTTTTGGCATTTACTCCCATGTAAATTGTATAAGATTTACATTGTAATAAATAAAACTTTCAACTACCACTCACATGCAAATGACATGTTACAGGATCTGACTTTGTACCTGATCATAAGGAGAATTAATCAGAATTAGGGCAGCTGGATTGTAAGCACTGCCATGTCGACATAGTAATAAATTATTTTTTAGTGTGTTAATCTTAAGTCTTTTCATCCTTACTGTGTCTGAGATTTGACTGCTTATTGCTAACATATTCACCAATTCATTTAATTTCATACACACTCTAATCAGCTGATGACAAAGCTACAGTATGTAAGGGATGACTCTTGTTGTAATCAAATTTCTCTCGATGTGTGTGTGCTAATTTAGCTGAGGAAATGTTCTGACATGAAAAGCAAGGGGCCAAAATACACAGTCCGAGTGTGGTTACATCTCATATGAGGTTAGCCAGACTGGAGGTAGTCTCTCTGCGAGCTTGGTGGTCCATGTGTCCAGAAACAGTGAATATATTCAAAACCTGGTCCACCAGCCTTCGTCCGTGCCTTGTCCTCTCAAGCAGGACCACCACAACAGAGTATAGTCCAACGCCCACAACTGCAGTCCCCCCTCCAGCCACTAAAACCACTCCAGAGATGTACATGTCATTAAGGGCTTGGCCAGGTTTTGGCATGTGGTTAGCCAGGGCCAGATGTAGTAGAACACCTCCACAAATCAATAGTGACAACCCAGTAATCAAAACCACAAGGAGATCAGATAAGCCGCCACTTTTAAGCATGTCAATTCGCTGTCTGCTTCGAACGCAATTCATGTCCTGCACAGCTGAGCTGAGCAGCTGCTTGAGGAGGACCCCCAGGGCCAGCAGGCAGAGTGCTGTGCCTGCACCTAGCCGCCATTCGCTTGATACACTGGTGGTAGTGGAGAGAAGTCCAACTCCTCCCAGCCCACAGCCCAGGATTAGTAGTACAGCCACGCAGTAGCAAAGCAGAGACTTTCCAGGGTCTCTGAACCACCACAGCTCCACCTGCTCCTCCAGGATGCTGTGCTGAATTTGAGCTGGATCTGCTGGTCCATTTAAGCCCAGCCCAGAGCCTCTGGGGCCCCTCAAGGGGGGAAAGTCATCCAGTTCAGGCATCGTGATGCCACGTTCAGCCTGCTGAATAGGGGCGCCACCACCTCAGAGGAGAGGGAATCCACAGAAGAATCTTTCAGTCCCTATTTCATTTAGCAGTGGCCACCACCAGTGTGTCAGGGCCAGTAAAAAATCCCAGATGTTTTCAGGGAGTCAGCTGGCTATTATCATGAAAAGCTCAAATGTGGTTAAAGTTGGTGGCAAATCTGCAGAGGAAATGAATGAATGTTCTAAAACATTTAACAAAGTCAGTTCAGGTCTCTTACTCCTGTATGAATGAAAATCCTTATAGCTCACACTGACTGGAGAGAGAGATGAAAATCTTCTTTACTGCACCAATATCCAAATCAGAGAATCCAAACATCCACAGAATTTCTAGTTTGGTTTTGCAGGGTGGCAGCAGTCATCTGAAAGAGAAGACAGATGTAGATGTAACCAGGTTTGTACAGTGTGCACTTCTACTTGCTATTTATTCAGACAGGTCTGTTTGCTCATGGCTGTCTTCTGGATAAGAATTATATGAAATGGTAGGCTGTTAAAGTCACCATAACCCTATAATACAATCATGTAAACCTATACAACACATACACATGTAAACAAGCATCCTCAAGCTTATGGCTGGCGACAGCTTGTCTCTTAAACCTGTCAGCGGCTTTATTTCTATCAAAGTCAGCAGTGTGTGGCACAAGCCGACATGGCCCAACACAAGCTGACAGGAGTAACAGCTTGTCCTCAGCAGCCATGAATTTTGCTAACACAAACATTGCTCTGCAAAATAAAATATACCGTATGTCAGTCTGGGAAAGCATAACATGGTTGTGCGTTCAGTGTTGTAATACTTGTTTACATTTAGCTCCTCCCACACCCATTTAAAATGCAGTGACAGAAACAGATTTCTATCAAATTTTTTCCCATCTGTTTAAAAGACTATAAAGTTATAAAGCAAGATCACATTGCTTATTAGTACAGGCAGGTATTGACTTGCACTGGGGCAGAGCGGTAACACCGTGACGCGAGATATGAGGTGCTTACACAAGGTGTGAAATGAAGAGTGAGGTAATTACAGCAAAGCAGGAGGGATGTTTATTGGCGACATGCTGTTCTGGAAGCTTTTCACATCCTGGATCGGATGGATGATTGTGTGTGTGTGAGAGATATTGTGTGTTTTGCAAGAGCAAACTGTTGTAAATGAGTAGAAGATTAAGACTGAAACCTGTGTGCTTATATAACTATGATGTGGTTGTGTATGTTTCATACAGCATAACAGAGTTGAGAGTGTTTGTGTGTCTGAGTGTGTGTGTGTGTGTGTGTGAGAGAGAGCGAGAGAGTACGGTATGTGTTTGCTGAGTCACTAATTAATCCCAGCTGGTTTTATCTTGGTGTCACTGACAGGTAGCACAAAAATAACACAGTAATTGAGGTGTGCATCTGTTTGTTGTTGTTGTTGTTTTTTTGTTTGTTTGTTAGTTTTTTTTGTCTGAGGTTAAAGTACCAAGGGTGTTGAGGTGAGGGAAAATAAAGCAATATGTGTGCTACTCCACCTCCATCCAATCTTTTTTTCTTATTAAGGCTTTGAACACCATCCTTCATACAGTACAAGTTTATGGGGAATCATTTTGTTTCATTAGTCGGCTCACAGGGAAACAGCCAGATGCAAGCGTGAGAGGCAGTGGCATGCAACAGGGATCATAAGATAAAATGAAACGCTTTAACGACAACTATATCTTAGTCCTCGTTGGGTTTCTCACATTTGGATCCCCATAGACACGTATGCCCACAGAGACCTGCTGGGCTGTGTCTGCCTTTCCTCTTTTATCACTTATATGACCTCTAGACTCGTCGTATCAGCTGGGTCATATTGCCTTCATAAATATGTTTACAAAAGCACTGACTCACAACATCACTCTCCAGTGGCCTCCTTTAAAGTCAGAGAAAGCAGGCACAGAGGAACAAACAATTTATGCAAGAAAGTTCTACCACAGTGCTGTGGTTGCCTGGAATCAAAGAAGTGAAAGGACCCTTTAACACTGTGATTTTGGGCTGTCTGAGACAAAAGTCAACAACTGTTGGTAAAGTCCTTGGTCATCGGTCCAAAATGGTGGTCCTAGAATGTGCTGTGAGATGGCTGATTTGCAAACAAAATAAATTCACACCGTCAGAAATTTAGGACCAAATTCCCACAATGCCAACACTGCTACAACCGATATCTAAAAATTAGTCAAGAGGAATAAGACAAAGAGATGCAGATTTGTACACTGACTAGTGCAACATTTAGTAAGTGTCATTTTGAGAAAAGTCTCATGCACAACAAATCAAAACAATAGAGGCTAAACAAAAAATAGGTTTATGGGACTCCAAAGAAGAAAACTTTGCAGAGGTATGGCAGCGCAAATGGATGACGTGAACTGATAATGTACCTTTTTTACTAACATTGCAGGACTGCAATTCACCATGCAATGCACAGTCTGATGTGCTTCAAACTGATACTGTGCAGCCTAACACAGATGGCGACCAAGATTTTACTAGACCCATCTAGCATGTGACATGCAGTAAACTTACTTACACAGTCTAAAGGTGTCTTTATCAGGAGTAAAACATTTGCTCCTTTTCACCTGTACTAAAACCTCCAGTACACCATTATGTCTAACAATGAATCGTCACACCTAAGTTATGAATTTTAGAAATACTCCACAAATACTTAACATATTCATAAAATATGAATCTTAAAAACAAAAAAACTGTACTGAATCTGTACTATACTTATCCCTTCATAAGGTTCATTAGGGAGTTTTGACAATTCAAACTTTTGAACAAACAAAGGAAATGTGAATTTGATGGTAACTTACTCATCAAAAACAATAGTTATACTGTATCATCACATTTAACTGTCTAAAGTATCTCACAGAATGCTGCACCAGTGATCATTATCACAATTTATTTAGAACAGATACTATACCCGAAGAACATCCTATACAGGATTCTTTGAAGTGACAGGTATAGTAAGTGTCCTGGACACTCAGCTGTACACTCAAAAGGGAAATGCATGAAGACATGCTGACGCTAACAGTCCAAACATTCTCTGTTACACTAATGTGCCGCGAATACGACTGAAAAAAATCCCAAAGATGATCTATACCTCGGACAGAGAGTATCATTCTCACTCTCTTCCTCCCTGCGAGTCTGCCTCTTCTAAGTTTTCTGCCTGCAAAGTCACTAGACAAGCTGTGCTTTGGAGTAAAAAACACTATACTGCACTCCAATTACCTGAGAAGCTTTGGGACTCCGGTAATCCCCCCTCTGCTGTGTTGGCCTGCTGAATTCATTTCACCGGCCATTAGTGTCTCATTTTAAAAGTTGATGCGTGGCTCTTTTACAGCGGGTTGTCTGGCTTTATTTGTTAATCAGGATGCAGTAGGATAGGTTAGAAGATGGCAACAACATCCAGGGAAAGTGGAGCAGGTGGGATCTTTAGTCTGAAGCGTTAAACCTCAACACAAAGCAGACGCTGGGTGAGATAGCAGAGATGCAATGCAGGGTGTCACAGCTTAGAAAAAGGCATATATGCATACTCAAAGAAGCTGTAATTGGAGTCCCACATGTATTTTTTTGTCATGGAAAATTTCCCCCCGCCGGGTATGAAAAGCACATTGAAAAAAGTAACTTGCTTGCTATAAAACATCCCTCCAGTGTGTTTAAATGGAATTATTTTGGTTATTCAATTTGAGTTGTAATTACTGTAAATTGTTGAGATCACAGAGGCCACAAGGGAAAGAAGTTTGGGGCTCAGAATGAAATGTTTGTGGTGTGCAGAAAAACTTTAGCAACACTTTAAACTAAGGAGCAAGGCTTCCTTCAGCATTTTTAGATCCATCCTCTTGTGGTTTCTTGCTTCTTTCAAAAGATGCTCTATCAATGTTTTCATCTTCTCTCTAGACAAGTACAGAACAATATATCCCTGCCAAGTAATCAAAACAAAAACATGGCAT